TCTCTACCACCATCACACCTGAGAATTCTGGAAGACCAGACACTGGCAAGTGACAGCCACATGGTCAGTGAAGGTAATGAAGGCAGGTGGCCCTCAGCCTTCCCAGATTAAGCCAGTAGCTAAGAAACTCAGAGGTATTCGAGTCACTGGATCTTATTTTTCAGAAAAAAATGGAATTTCAGAAAGTTATCTTCTACGCACATACCAGATCTTTATGAGTCTTCACACTAACATCATTTGTTGAACCGACCACACTGAGGCCCACCTTGGGATGCCAGCTCAGCTGTGTTTCCCTCCCATGGGCAGAGGCCAATGCTACTCACTGCCTCAGTTTTGGCAAACCCAAAGCTGTACAATTTGTGCGCAGCCTCAAGTCCTCCAGCACATTCCCATTTCAATTAAGTTGAGGGGAAAAGCTGTCCCTTATTTAGCATGAACAACAAAGAAGATGTACAAAATCTTGCAAACAACAAAACAATTTTGGCTACTGAATTACCACTGCTCCTAGTAAGATCTCAAAGACAAATCACATCAGGAGCAATATGCCTAGTAGTCAAGAGCTGAGGTTCTAGGCCTAACATCCTGAGTTCAATAGCTGGTTCTGCCTCTCACTGACCAAATGCCCTGGGCCAGTTACTCTACCTCACTCCATTATTCCACGTCACTCCAACCTCATTCTACCTTACTCCAAACTTACTCCAACTGTACTCCACCTCACTCTATCTCATTCCAACCTTACTGTAACCTTCCTCCCCTTCACTCCAACCTTGCTCCACCCTGCTCCACCTTACTCTACCTTACTCCAACCTTACTCCACCTTACTTCAACCTTACTCCGCCTCACTCCAGCCCACTCCACCTTACTCTAACCTTATTGTATACCTTGCTCCACTTCGCTCCAACCTTACCCTACCTCATTCCAACATTACTATATCTCACTCCACCCTTATTCCACCTCAGTCCAAATTCACTCCAAACTTACTCCACCTCACTCCAACCTAATTCCACTTTACTCCACCTCAACTCCAACTTTACTCCACCTTGCTCCAACCTTCCCCCACCTCAACTCCAACCTTACTCCGTCTTAATTCAACCTTATTCCACCTTACTTCAACCTTACTCCACTTCACTCCAAACTTACGAAGCTTACTCCAACCTTACTCCATCTTACTCTACCTCACTCTAACCTTACTGTAACCTTGCTCCATGTGTTCCAACCTTACTCTGACCTTACTCCACCTTACTCCAACCTTACTGTAAGCTTACTCCAACCTTACTCTACTCCAACTCTACTATCAGTAAAAATGGTGGTAATGATCACAACCAGCTCATGAGGATGTTGTGATTACATGAGAAAATACATATGAAGTACCTATGTCCATATGACCCCTGAACAAGTTCGAATTGCATAGGTGCACTTACACACAGATTTTTTTCGATAAATGTAGGAAAGTACTGTAAATGTATTTTCTCTTCCTTATGCTTTTTTTTTTTTTTAAAGATTTTATTTATTTGACAGAGAGAGAGAGAGAGAGAGAGCACAAGCAGGGGGAGGGGCAGAGGGAGAAGCAGACTCCCTGTGGAGCAGGGAGCCCGATGTGGGGCTCGATCCCGAGACTCGGATCATGACCCGAGCTCAAGGCAGATACTTAACCCAGGCGCCCCTTCCTTATGCTTTTCTTAACATTTTCTTTTCGCTAGCTTATTTTATTGTAAGAATACAGTATATAATACATATAACATACAAAATATGTGTTAAGTGTTCAAGTTATCAGTAAGGCGTCCAATCAACAGTAGGCTATTAGTGGTTACGTTTTGGGAGAGTCTGAAGTTATACGCAAATTTTCAACTATGGGGGGGTTGGTGCCCCTACCCCCCACACTGTTCAAGGGTCAACTGTACTGTTTATGAAGCACTCAATAAATATTAACCACTATTTTATTAGCCTTTGAAGATTTTAAATTTGGTTAAAAATTATGAATAAAAACTCCAACTTTATTTATAAATTAACATAGGATAAATTATTATTGCTACTTCATTTTAAACATCACACTGATGTGTTATTTACATTGATCCAACCAGAGCTTTGAAATACTCCTGGGACACAGCTCAGATAGTCAAGGAAAAAGAAAAAGTCCTTCAGATAACTGTGTAGCCTCTGGCAGGGTACCTAATCTCTTTATCCCTTAATTTCCTCAACTATAAAGCAGAACAACAATTAGCCTACTCTGAAGAACAGTGATAAAAGTCAATACTCCCCTCTTAGGCACCTAGCAAATACACTATCCTTGGAAAACACTCAGTATGTTCTGAGAGAAAGGCAGGCCCCTGGCAGAGCTCCACAGGCCCAGGGTCCTCCCAGTAGACCTCTATGATCTTGGTTCCACGAAGCTAAACTCAGAGTCAGCTCCTCCACACACAGAAATGGAGGCACACAGGTGATCACCAGAAGTTAGGACACAAGGCAAGAGCTTAGACATCATCCAGTCCCAAACCATCCTTTTAAAGTTGGTCTTGCAAAGACCATTCAGACATAGACCGGCACTCAGTTTCTCCCGGGGGCCAGCCTCCATCTTGCCCTGCAACTGGGGGAATCTTGTTCACTCAGTGCTCATCTGCCTCTTTTCTGGGAGCTAAATGTGGATCATAGCCAAATCTGCATCTCTAAGTGTGCCCTCACTTTTGAACTTGATTTGTATGTATTTCCTGTGTATTTTACACCACAGCAGGCCAGCTGTATTCTGGGTACCTAGAACACTGGAAAGTGCTCAGTAAATATTTGTCAAGTGAATCACCCCAACATCATGAGGTGGGTACTGCCATCCCCATTTGGCATATGAGAAGACAAGCTTACCAAGGTTAAGTGAACTGCCATTCCACTTAGCTAGTAAACTGCCACTAGGTATCTCTAGTCCTCCTCCCCAGGGCCCCATGCACCGCCCCCAACTTCCAGTTCCCACTCCACTGCCCCTATACCAGTCTTCTCCCTGCGTGCCCCACCATGCCCAGCTTCAGCCCCCACTCTAACTCACTGGTACTTCCTGCAACAGCCTCACCCCACAAGCTTCTCCCCTTTACAGCTGTTCTCCACAATGCACCCAGGGCAAGCCATCCCAAGAGAATCTGAACAAGCATGAGGTCCTGTGATGGCTCCCCAGTCTACAGAGAATAAAACTCAAGCTCTACCTCCCATCTCACACTCCAGCAGCTAATTCCACTATTTTATCTAGCTTCATATTCGAGCATCTGCGTCTAGTGCTCCAAGCATATCACAAACGGCCTGGCCTTCCCACTCATGCATCTTCTGTACCTTGGATGTCCATACTGCTTAGGAACTCCCGTTTCCCTGAAGCGCCGGCCTCCCTCCTCGAAGAAGCCCTCCCTGCCCTCACCCCCTCCTCAGGCTCAGGTAGGGACACCTGTAATGCTCTACACCACATGGATAAAGATATAATCAGCTAGTTATATGTCCATCTTCTCTATTCAACTATGAACACCTAGAAGGCAGAGACTAGGTCTTTTTTTTTTTTTTAAAGATTTTATTTATTTATTTGACAGAGAGAGACACAGCGAGAGAGGGAACACAAGCAGGGGGAGTGGGAGAGGGAGAAGCAGGCTCCCCGCGGAGCAGGGAGCCCGATGCGGGGCTTGATCCCAGGACCCTGTGATCATGACCTGAGCCGAAGGCAGACGCTTAACGACTGAGCCACCCAGGCGCCCGAGACTAGGTCTTTATCTTGGATGCTGAATGCCTGGCAAAAGGTCTGCACTTGGTAGAAACTCAGATACCTTAATGACTCATTCCTCCTTGGTTTTCTAGACCCTGGGGTTATCCTAGGGTAGGGTATAACAGGGAGCCACTGAAGCCTGTCAATTACTATCTTCAAAATCTCCCTGATATCCTGCTTCTGTCTCCATGACCACTGCGCTCCCAGGCTCAGGCCCTCATTACTCCCAGGACTATGAGATTAACTTCCTTCCTCCAACATCCCCTTTGTATAATTACAATTCCTGTCTGGTTCCTGCCAGAATTACTTTACTGAAACACACATCTGATGTCAGTTCCATGCCTAAAGACCCTCTGTAGTTCCTCCTCCCCAGCCTACAGGGGCTTCAAAGGCCCTCCACCTTTCCCCCACTTCTCCCCTTCCAGCCCACCTACTGACTCCCCACACACCCAACACTTACTTCGCTGCTATTCCCAGAACTCTCTAGACACATCGATAGCCTGCCTATGCAGGCTGTCAGGCATCCCCTGTGCCAGGAGCACCCCGCTCATCCTTCAAGGCTCAGTTCAGAGGTCATCTCCTGGGTGAAACCTACGCTGACTCTCCCCCTCCCATGCGTAACTCACACCCGGCCTCCACCCTGTCCTCTACTGCACTTTTAACATTACTCGGTCACCACAAATTGCGGGCTATTCCATCTCTCACGGGATCCTCTGCAGGTGAGCAAGGCCAGACAAAGGGTTTGACATCCAATGCACGCGCGTGCATAAGTCAGTCAAGTGGCCATCCCGTTTCCTTCAATTTAATAACTTGCGATGGAGGCTTAAGAGTGGCGCACCCTCCTCATTTTAACAATGGGAATAAAGAGCTCAGGAATATGACGTGCCTGGCCCAACGCCACCGTGTTCGGGCAGAGCTGGGCCCTAGACCCTCTGATTAGAAATCTTATTTACCAACAGTTAAACGACGGAGGGCGGGGAGAGGGCCCCAGCTGTTCTGCATGGGGGCCACTGGCGCTCGTGGGGTCTCAGGTCCTCCCCTTTGCGGCTCCCTTGCCGCGGAGCCCAGTGTTCGGTTCCCACACTTGACTGCCTGGAACTAGTCTCTCCCAGAACTTGGGGAAAAGTCGCTGTTTACGGTCCCGCGCCCGCAAGGACAAGGCCCGGCCGAGCTCACCGCACAATACCCGGGCCAGCAGCGCCTCCAGCCTCTGGCCGGGCACCGCGCGCCGCCGCGCACGCCACGCACGCCACGCGCATGCGCAGCCCCCGCTCTGGCGCGAGCCCCCGGCTCTGCGGCGGCGGCCTGTATGCTTGTGCAGCCGACGTCGTCGGGAGCTGGTCCCCGGTCCGGGAAATGCCCGGGTTCCAGGCGGCGGGAGAGGTCAGCGCGGTCGCTGTGCCCTCCTCCTCTGCTCCGCAGGGGAAGGCTGTGGATCCGTGTGGGGTTGGGCGGCGGGCCCTAAGCACCGGCCACAGGATGGGCGCGTGCGTTCCTCGGGTTGGGGTGCCAGGCAGAGGGCGGGAGGTGAGCGGGCTGCGGAGCAGTGGACCGAGCGTCTGGGGGTCGGGGTGCGCGGGGCTCCTTCTCCACTGCCGCCGCCAAAGCAGAGAGACCAGCTGAGACTCGTACCTTCTTGCGGAAACTTCGGCTTTGTCTCTCCCACGTGGAAGGCAGCAATGCCAGGTAGCGCCTGGCATTGCGGACTTGAGCCAGACTCCCTGAGTCTGATTGCAGCTCTGGCTCCCTAGCCCCGAGAGCTTGGCCAGTTTACCTTACCTCTTCAGTGCCTCAATTTCTTCAGCTGGAAAAAGGGGTTAGGGATCTTATTCACAGGGTAGGCTGTTGTGAAGATCAAATGAGTTAGTATAAGAGAATGAGATTGGTGCCTAGCAAGCACTGTATGAGCATGTGGGTGTTATTATTACTGTTTTTTATTAGAGCTGTGTGTAACAGGATGTTTAATGGACCTTTTCCTGTTACCCTAGAATTTATGAGTCAGGGCACAAAGATGACCCAGAGGTGTTGAGTATCCCACACAGTAAAGACAATACCGGACATATAAGCAGAACTTATTAAAGGGCTGTAGAACCAGACCTGCCAGAAGAAAGTATAGGGGAGTTTGGAGAAGGTGATGGGAATATTCTGTATCTTGATTGTCATGGTAGATTTTGTAGAACTCTAAACCTAAAATGGGTGAGTGTTACTTATGCAAATTAAACATCAATAAACCCGAAGAGAATTTTTTAAAAGACGCATTAAGAAAATGAAAGGCAAGCCACAGACTGGGAGGAAATCAAAACACATATCTGATAAAGGATTCTATACAGAATACATAAAGAACTCACTTAACCCTGTAATAAAACTACAAGTAGAACAGATACTCCAACAAAGACATTGTACAGATGGCAAATAAACACATGAAGGATCATTAGGGAAACACAAAGCCACAGTGAAACACCACTCACTAAATCACTACACATCCACTCAAATGGCCAAAATTAAAAAGACTGGCAACATCAAGTGTTGAGGATGCAGAGCAACTAGAATTCTAATACATCGTTGGTAAGTGTGCAAAATGGTGCTATCAATTTGGAAACATTTTGGAGGTTTCTTATAAAGTTGCCATACACTTACCGTTCAACTCAGCAAAAATCCTACTCCTCATTTACCCAGTAGAGATGAAAATATCCACACTAGATTTGTACTAAATTGTTCACAGAAGCAATATTAACAATGAAAAGCTAGAAACAACCTAAATGTTATCAGTTAGTGAATAGGTAAACAAACTGTGATAGTTCCATACAATGGGATACTCTTCTGCAAAAATAGGAACAAACTACCAATACATGCAAAAATGTGGATGAATCTGAAATTTGATAGGCTAGGTGGAAGAAACCAGACACTGAAAGGCTACATCCTTTCATTATTAATGAAATTCTAAAGATAAAACTACAGTGACAGAAAGCCGATCAGTAGGTAGGGGTTGTGAATCAGGGGAGAGAATCCCCTGCAAAGGAACACAAGATGAACTCTGGGGGTGGTGGGAATGTTCTGTATCATAATTGTGGTGTTTACAGGACTACATTTGTCAAAACTCGTTGGATTATGCTCTTAAAATGGGTGATCTTTGTTGTAAACGAAGTATACCTGAATTTTTTTTATTTTTAAAGATTTTATTTATTTATTTGACAGAGAGAGACACAGCGAGAGAGGGAACATAAGCAGGGGTGTGTGAGAGGGAGAAACAGGCTTCCTGCTGAGCAGGGAACCTGATGCAGGGTTTGATACCAGGACCCTGGGATCATGACCTGAACTAAAGGCAGACGCTTAACGACTGAGTCACCCAGGTGCCCCTATACCTGAATTTTTTAAAAAGCCAGTTGGTGTTGGTCTGAGAGGAAACTACAACCAGTGGGCCATTTAGGTAGAGAGATCTTTACTCTTTTCCCTACTTCATTCTCCATGACCCAACATCAGAGAAGCAAGATCCTAAGGCAGGTGGAGGGGGGAGTTGGGTAATCAAGAGGTAGCCACATCCCACTCTTCCTCTTAAGGTCCTAAGTCTGGCTGGCAATGGGAGTGGGCAAAGGTTTACCTTGTATTTGAGATTGAACTGGCTGGACTTCGAATAACTGCCAAGCATTGGAAAGTTATACATTCTGCCCAAAATATGATTAAGGGGAAATGTGGGAAATTTGACAAGAATTGATAGAAGGCAACAATTAAAGAAAGCAATTTTATATGCCTCCTGTGAGGAGATGGTTCAATCATGTGATTGCATATGTTATTAAATTAATAAACCTACAGAACATATAATGTGTAACTCATATATAACTGTACTGTTAAACAACCAGATTCACCGGAGTAAATTTTAAAGATTTAATTGGCTTTATTAAATGATTCATGAATTGAGCAGCATCTCATCTAGCAAGTAGCGGGGAGCTCCAAAGGGCCACAGAAAGGGAAAGGTTTTTAAAGGCAGGACAAGGAAGTCATAAACAGAAAAAAGGATTATTTTGAGTGAGGTCACCTTCCTTTGGGGAAAATAGGGTCTTAGTTCGATTACCTCATCTTCCTTTGGGGGATGGAGAGGGCCCAAAGGACTGGTTACCTTATTGGTGCTGACCAGAAAATTCCTGATAGATCAGTAAAGACTACATTTCTGGGGGAGGTTGAAACTGCAGTTAGGTTAGGTATTTAAGCCCTGGTTTGGTGACATGGCCTAACATAAGTGACTCCATTTTGGGCCTGTGGTTTTCTTTTTAATGGTATTTTTCAAGTGTACGTAGGCGCTGTCACTGTTAATAAAATACAAAATCACTTAAAATATTACTGAACTCATACCTTTGTCATTATATATTTTCTTGATCAGCAGGTACTGAAAGTGTAACTGCTATAACGGGGAGCACCGCCCCCAAGTGTTGTCTGTAAAAAGGAGCCCGTGTCCTTGGGAGCATTGGTCATAGTCCTTTGGGAACAAGAATGGGAATGGATCCTGCTGGGGACTGGAGATGTCAAGAAGAAGAGAAGAACCAGGATAGTGCCATATTGTGGACATTACAAGGGAAGAGCTTTTCAAGAAATCAGGAGTTTGGGAGCCTGGCTCTGATTCTGAGCACAGTCTGACCTGCTCTGCTACCCGTGGGCCCTAGACAGGCTGACCAGTCACTGTGGCTATCCAGCCGTATCCCCCGTACCTAGAACACTGGAAGGTGCTCGGTAAATATTTGCAGGTAAGTAAACACTTAAGTGTTATGAAGTGGGTACTGCCATCCTCATTTCACAGGTGAGGAGACAAGCTCACTAAGGTTAAGAGAATTGCACTTATCGAGTAAATAGTAGACTTGGGAGTGGGGTTGAACCTAGGCCTGTTGAACTCAAGAGCCCAAGTTCATAACTCCTGTGCTAGTGGCCTCTGAAACATGCAAGGTGACCGAAATGAGAGGCACACGGCAGTGTAGCTGATGCTCTGGTGTTGAACGAGGATGTGCTTAATGCAGAAGTGGGAAGGGCCCAGGGCGGTGGGGGAGGGGGGGTGCTCTTAGAGCCAGGCTCCTAGTGGGCAGCCATGTGGCCAGGAGACAGAAAAGGAAGATGACTTGCCATCACCAGGGCCACACACGAGCTTGGCGAGGGGGGTGAGTGGGTGAGGTATGCACCTGTCAGTGTTCCAGGGCCACATGACAGCTGCAGGCCGGGCCCTACAAGAACTCTAAAGGGAAATCAAGGCTGTATACCCATCCACCAAGCATAGGGCAGAATCTGGCTCCTTCTGTTCATCCTAAGGACCCCTTCCCAGCCAGGCTCTGGCCTCCCTGAAGTCCATATGGCTAGGTTCCCTGCTTGGAGGCCACTGTGAGGCCCCACAGATCAGCACACATCCCACTTCTTACATGAGGTGAAAAAGTCGGCAATGACTTTGGGCTTGCTTACCAATGTAACAGTTTGTAGAATGTTTGCTCTAACATGTCCTGGGGACGCTCTTTGAGTTATACACGTGACCTTTGAGCAACACAGGTTTTGAACTGCGTGGGTCCATTTATATGCAGATTTTTTACAGTGTGGCACTGTAAATGTATTTTCTCTTCCTTAGGAATTTCTTCATAACATTTCTTTTCTCTTGGGACGCCTGGGTGGCTCCGTCAGTTGATTGTCTGCCTTCAGCTCAGGTCATGATCCCAGGTCCTGGGATCGAGTCCTGCATGAGGCTCCTTGCTCAGTGAGGAGCCTGCTTCCCGCTCTGCCTGCTGCCTCCCCTGCTTGCTCTCTCTCTCTCTCTGACAAATAAATAAATAAAATCTTTATAAAAAACATTTTTTTCTCTCACTTTATTGTAAGTATATATTGCAGTATATGTTATGTATAACATATACAATATGTGCTAATCGACTGTGTGTTCTCAGGAAGGCTTCCAGTCAACAGGAGGCTGTTAGTAGTTAAGTTTTGGGGGGAGTCAAAAGTTATATGTGGATTTTTGACTGCGTGGGGGTCAGTGCCCCTAACCTCTGCCTTGGTCAGGGATCCACTGTATTCGAGAAACAAAAAGGAGCAATTATAAAAATATGTTTTTACTTCCACTTCCTTTGCTAATTCCCCAGAACATCGTTCACCAAGATGGACTTATTTTCTGAAATTTAAAACTTCTAAAATGAAGACTTCAAAATATGATACAGTGAAGACTAAAAACCTTGGATCCGAGAGCATCTGTTTTTTGCCTCTTAATTTTCTACAACTTCCCCATTCCTCTTTTCTTTGGATGCTCATCTGCTCCCTCCACCTTCAGCAGGCCGCCCGTCAGGCGTGGTTCTCCTCTATTATTGCTGAGATGGAACTCCCCCTGTTTTAGTGAAGGCCGTGATGTTGGAGGTTGCAGCCATGACCTGCTGCCACACTTCCAAATCACCACCCCACGCGGAATACTCTGTGCTGTCCCATCGTTAGGAAAGACTCATGCCACCTTTGTGGCCAGTGCTGGGCTTCTCTTTTGGGTGGGGAGCAACAGGTTTGCTGCTGACAACTCTTTCTGCATTAGTTAGTTTCAATCACCCTTTTCTGTGTTCTTTGGGTTCAATTTCCCAAAGACCTAACATGGCAGGCAGAGCTCGGAAGGCAGACCCTTGAGATTCCCTTCCCCGAGTTATTCAGTCAAATAGTACTCCTGGTACTACTGTGAAGGGCCTCGGCAGATGGAATGATCATCAGCTGATCTCAAATGAGAGCACTCACCCTGGATGGCTTGGGGCACAATGGAAACACAAGAGCAACAGCAAGGGGCAGAAGACCAGAGCTGCAGCGGGAGGGAGGAGACAGGGGGTGAGAAGGCACTCTCAGAGAGAGCCACCAAGGGGTGAAAGGAGTCCACCTGCCATTGGGGGCTTTGAGGGGGCCATGAGTCAGGGAGTTTGGACCATCTCTGGAAACAGGGACCTCAGTTCTGCAGCTTCGTGGAACTATATTTTGCCAACAACCTGAAGGAGTGTGGGAGTAGATACATCCCCCAAGCACCCAGAAAAGAGCGTGGCCTTGCCAACGCCTTGATTTCACCCTCATGAAAGTCGAAGTTGAGTGCCAGCTGTGCCTTTTGAGTGTTGAAGGGGGCAGACTATGCCATCCCAAAATGTGCCACTTTGGCGTGTGGATTCTTTTGAGCTGAAGTCAGTCAAGACCTAGCCGACTCAAGAAAAGCTTTTACCTCTCTCTTAATTACTTAGAAGAACTTAGATGGGGGCCTGGCCCAGAAAGAGAGCTATTACCAGAGATAACTTTTTATCTGAAAGAGCAATTTGCTTGGCAGGGCACACATCTAATTACCAAACGTCTGCTCTTTGTACAGTCCTGCAAATTACCCTCCTCCCTTTTGCAGCCAGGCCCCTATCCCGTTCTTGAGCTCAGGGTGCCAAATTAGCCTCAACTGTGCAACTTGCCCTTGAGTCTCACGCCTTTGGAGCTCCTTTATGTATGAAATAAAGTTTGTTTTTCTTCTGTTAATCTGTCCTATGTCAGCTTAATTAGTAGACCAGCCAATGAACCTAGAAGGGAAGAAAGGGAAAATTTCCCACCTCTACCGTGTACACACTGTTTCCAAATGTCTCACATCTTTATGCAGCCCTCCAATTGTGATATGAAGGTTGTAGCTTGCCACACGGATTCAAGCACTTGTCACCATTTGTTTTATTGTGGCTCCTTAGGACATGTTGATAACCTTCTGTTAATTTTACTTGCACCCCTTGCCGTTGTAGTAACAGTCTATTTTATGTACTGGAGGTTTGGTGGAAACTTGTTTCCATTCTTCAGTTTAGCAAACACTTACTGGGGTTAAGCATCTGGTGTTTTGCTGGGCCGCATGGCTATAGAGAGGAGCAGTCATGTTCTCGTGGACTCATGGAGGGGCACAACAGCAAGTGGCCAAGAGCAACGGCCTGGTTAGGTCCCAGCTGTGCCATTCCCTAGCCCGGTATCGTGTCACTGTGTCCTCTCGGTGGGTGTACTGATGGCTGCGCCCAAGGGTTAGAGTCTGTGATATTGTGATTTATAACAAATATTTATTTGGTCTCATCCATTTCCTGGTACAGAGCTCCTAAAACTCTTGAAATTTCATAAATGAGAAGAGTACTAAATGTGTCTTTTGTTAGGTTACTAAGGTGACTTTTGGAAGCACCTAGGGATGGGAGCTGGTTGCCAAGGGAACCAACCTTGTAATTAGAGGTTTGGAACTTTCAGTGCCATGCCCCTGACCTCCGGGGAGGGGAGAGGGGCTAGAGATTGAGTTCAATCACCGATAGCCAATTATTTAATCAGTTGTGTCTATGTAATAAAGCCACCACAAACCCCCTGAAAGACAGGATTCAAAAAGCTTCGGGATGAGTGAACACAAGGAGATTTGGGGAAAGTGGTGCATTCGGAGGACATGGAAACTCCACACCCTTTCCCCAGACCTTGCTCTGTGCATCTCTTCCATCTGGCTGTCCCTGATTTATATCCTTTTATATTAAACTGGTAATCTAGTAAGTGTAATGTTTCTTTGAGTTCAGCGAGCCATTCCAGTGAAATAATCAAACCTCAGGAGGGGGGTCATGGGAACCTCTGATTTATAGCCCGTGGGTCAGAAGCACAGGTGGCAACCTGGACTTGTGATTGGCATCCAAGATGGGGCAGTCTAAGCAGTCTTACAGGACTGAGCCCCCAACCTATGGAATCTGATGCTATCTCCAGGTAGATAGTGTCAGAATTGAGTTAAATTGTAGGACACCCAGGAGAATTGCTTGGGGGTGGGGAAAACTCCACATGTCAAAATTGGGAGCAGAATCAGAGAATCATGTATATGCATCACTCGGAACAGCAGTGCCAGGTGAGTATGCTTGTGGCTACTGTCATCATTAAGTCACTAGCCAGTCAGCTCAGATGGGTTTTGGCATTGTGCTGATGACACCAGGGACACCACCTATAGGTCCATTGGGCAGGTAGGTAAAGAAGCTGAAGGTAGGAGATGCCAACCTCATCTGGCCGAGAACTGAGGAAGAGCCAGAGCTGGTTCTCACCATCCTCAAAGCCACGGATGAGAGCAGAAGAATTAACACCAACACAAACATGAATTCTTTTTAAAACACATAGTGTTCGGGGCACCTAGCTGGCTCAGTTGGTAGAGCTTATGACTCTTGATCTCAGGGTCATGCATTCAAGCCCCACATTGGACGCGTAGCCTACCTTAAAAAAAAT